GCATGTCAATCTTTACTTTCAGGGTTTATGACATAGGAGTTGTTAATAAATGTTATTATTTACAAGTGTTGTTAAAGAGATAATTTAATACAAGTCGCATCATAGGGCAGTCTACCACTCCACCGTCGAAACATGGTGCATCGGCCGGGAATCGAACGCGGGCCACCGCGTGGCAGGCGAGCATTCTACCACTGATTCACTTGATTTCCGAAAAGCGTACGCCGAATACGCGATCCTAACAGTGTACGCCAAAGCCTCCACAGAATCAGCCCTACAGCTTCACATTGTCGCGGGGAACCCGAAGATCATCCCCGCTTTTCGAATAGCACCTGCACTGTAGAAACGAGTGGTTCGACTCGTTGTTATAATTGTCTGTTCAGAGCTGAATTGAGCGTATCATGTCAAAGCAGTCATGTGGAAGTCACAGCAAAAGTTCTGCCCATCTAAATCCAAGTATTACGCTTCAGTCCAAGAGGTTCTCTTAAAAATATTTGACTGCATTTTGACACATCAACCGTTTCCACCAGATGTCAGTGCCTTGTCCTGGCCGATACACGAATATCACTGTCAAAGGAATACTACAGTTTGCAAACGACAAAGACTTGTCGGAAGAAACATTGTTACAAAACGAAGTAGGTAGGGCAACAAGAGCTCACTACTCATTCTTGCAAAGTCCCCGCAGAAGATACTAAAGGTCGTCAAGAATATCTCACGTCTATTCATCACTTTTGGAACGGTGATCATTTCCTAGACTTTCTTACTGTTTATCTTATCGATATATAGAACTGTCACCATATTTTTCAAACCTTCCTATTCGAGAATGAGCAGACAATCACCTTGACGGCTCTTCGTTGTGCGGGAGTTCCTGTAACTTCTACAGAACACCATCGACAGGTTCCATATCTGCAAAAGAACATGATGCTTGCTTTCAAGCTTCTCATTATCTTTAAGCACTAAGGTTAAGCCCAGACCACCTGACCATAGACCCATTTCATTGGATACTACAATAGCTATCATGGACTCCGAAGCCATGCACCTGATGCAAGTAGCCAATGAATTCAGGAATACGATTGGAAAAGAATTTAAATGCTTCATCCAGCAACCCGAGAGGAGTGAAGAAGAAAAGAAGAATTTGGACGACCTAGAAACACGATGGAAAGAGCCATAAACACTATGGAAAATCAAATCACATACGACGACCACTTCGAGGCACTAAAAAAGGAGGTCGAGGGCATCAAACAAGGAACTGGCAACAAATTCAAAGAGCTGAAGAAAGACCTCCAGGACGGTATAGAAAGGATAAAAGATACCATTGAAAGAAAAATGGAAATTATCACAGAAGCACAGATCCAGCAGCTCGTAAAAATCCAGGCACTACAGGAGTCAAACAAACGGACAAGGCAAGAATCTTTGAAAACCGCAGATGCAGATTCTGAATCAGCCAGCACGGTAAAGAAAGGGAGCCCCTCTCCCAAAAGAAGCAGGCAAGAAACCTCAAGAAGAGTTAACGATAAAAAGGAACTTCTGGCGATATCCAACAAACTCGAAACATTCAACGACTGCAACGACAGATTCTATGCAGATGAAAAATCGCTAGTAATCGACGACAATGGTAATCCCCTTATGTGCGTCTTCTGTCAAGACAAAGGGAAACACGAACCCGATAACTGTCCGAATGTACGAACTGTAAGTGAAAGAAAAGGAATCCTGAAACGTGGACACGGATGCTGGTTCTGCCTCAAGGACCATATAGGAACCTGCGCCGAAAGAGAAGCTTGCCCATACTGTGGAAAAGGGAGCCACAATAAAGCCTTGTGCGGAAGACCAGAGGAGAAAGCCCACTGGAAACAGAAGAAACAAAAACTGGAGGAAACACTTGCCCGCAGGGCCGGGAGTATCTTCAAGCACTAAGGTTAGTGCTTGAAGAT